GAAATATCTCTAAGATATATTAAATTTTAAAAATAGGATATAGAATGAGGTGCATAAAAAGCTACATTTTATGTTACAGAGAGGGAAACAGCTTATATTTGTGCTGACCTGTATCTATGTAAGACACTCACAGAAGAAACTAAGAACAGTATTTACCTAGAGAGGGAATAAGAGACTGGAAGAATATTCATCAAAATGTTAGAGCCTTTCATGAATGATGGGCATACAGATGATTAAAGAAATTAGAGGAATTTTCTGTAGACTCCATAATCTATTCATTTTAAAAATGCAAAATAAAGTTTTAAATGATTTTCCAGGAAACTGACCAAGTCTGTTGGTAACATTTTATAGCCCAGAGGTGGATGCTTATGAATAGCAGCAAGGCGGGTGGGGGGGGGGGAGCTGTGGAGACTGTCTGGGTCTTATGCTCTGCTTAATGTTTGCCACTCCTTCCAAGGACAGCATTTGTCCCATACACTCTTAGACCAGTTGGGAAAATTCCAGGTGGGCTGAAGTATAGAAGTCAGCAAGGCAAAATGCACAGGGTCAAGTAAGCATGAGAATGAAGTGGGGTCCATCCATACTTTGGCTTATTCAAAGGTAAAAACTTATGAATAATATCATTCTAAGCAAAGCTCCACATCTCAAAAGGTAATTTCTTAGGAAGGAACTTTTGGGGTTATCCCAATGAGAGCAGTTTCTTGAATCCTTTTACAAAGGATTTTGTAAAAGCAAAATCCTTTGAATAGCATTTAATTTACAGTTTAAAAATTTGAAGCATACATTCCAGAAAAAGTGGATGAACAAAATTATCCGCTATTATGAATGATTTTTAAGCCAACACTCATGCTACTACCACAGAGATCGAGAAATATAATAGTGTCAGCCCCTCAGAAGCACCTCTAAGTGTCTCTTCTTGATCATACCCCTTTCCCTCCCATGAGAGAGAATCATGTCCTCACTTTCATGGTGACTACTGCTTTGTTTGCTTTTATAGTTTTACCACCTCCTGATGTGCTCTTGAAGATGTACTTTCATTTTGTTCATTTTGTTTTAAAACTTCGTAAGAGCCATCCATGTTGCATGGAGCTACATTTTGTTCATTTTATTAATTACATAGTATTCTGTTACATGCTTGTGTCACAATTTTATAGCCATCCTACTGATGATGGACATTTGGAATAGCTCCAGTTTGGGGCATAACGAACAATGCTGATCTGAACCACACGCTAGCTGTATTTGGGTGCACACATGCATGCATTCTTCTAGGGCAATCAGCCCCGAGCGAAACTGTGGGGTTATATAGTGTATGGAGAGCTTCTGCTCTTCTGGATACTACAAAATGTTTTCCAATATGGTTTTATCAATGTATACTTCTTCTAGCAGTCTACAAAGGTTCTCATTGTTTCCTAATTTCACCAAAAGTTCTAAATTCTTAGTTGAGCCAGACTTCTTAACATTTGCTAGTCTAATGGGTGTGCAGTAAGATGTCATTATGGTTTTAATTTGTATTTCACTGGTGACAAATGAAGTTGTGTGCCTCTTCACATATTAATTGGTCATTTGGACACTTCCTTTTGTGAAGTGCATGTTCAAAACTTTTGCCTGTTCTTTTATTGGATTGCCTTTCTTTAATAGTGCTTAATTTAATCCATGTATTAATAAAGAGTCTGAATGATGAATGATCAGGGCTGGAAGTTCACCATGCAGCCAGAAGGCAAATGCAGCAATCTAAGATTTTTCACAAAACCTTTTTATGTAATTAGCTGGCACAAATTATTCATCAGGCAAATTGGGCCTAAGCATCTGCCCACCACACTGTCTGCTGCCAGTCATCTACCCATGCACCCAGATCAATGACTGATGCTGATGGCAGTAGTTAATACTCACCAGACTCTTCCCATGTGCTTGGCACTGGGCTAAGCATGTGCCTTACTTGCTTCTCTTAATACCTCTATGTGGAATGTTCCATTCAGCTTAGAGGCTTAAATAACTGGACCATGATGACTCAACTAGAGAGTGATGTGGCTGGGAGTTGATCCCTCATTTAACTCCAGAACCCATGTTCCTAACCTAATTATTACACTGCCTTAAACAAAGTTTCCTCCTGGTTTCAAATTTGGGATTATTGCGTGCTGTGGAAATGGCAGTCGGTTCTAGCGGAAGACAATATAATGAAGTACTTAGGTTACAGCTAGTAAAACTTAAATTCTCTAAAAGTATATCATAATACATTATGAAGGATATTGACAAAAAGGAAATAGACTTACATAAAGCTTGCTATGCACTTGAGTTACATTTGCTTCACAGCACATATGTGGATGACAAATATGGGTTCTTTTAACTTACTACTGTATCCATAAGCATTTTACACATCCTGAGTAGATAAAATCAGATGCTCTTCTCCAGACTCATTTTTTTAAGGTTAAAATCAAGAAATAAACGTATGGTATTGTCTTTCTCTGACTGACTTATTTCACTTAGTATTACACTCTTCAGCTCTACCCATTTTGTTGCAAATGGCAAGATTTCCTTCTTTTTTATGGCCAAACAATATTCCAGTGTGTGTGTGTCTGTGTCTGTGTGTCTGTGTCTCATATCTTCTTTATCCATTCATCTTCACTCATATGTGGAATTGAGAAACAAAACAAATGAGCAAAGGGAAAAAGAGAGGGAGAAACAAACCAAGAAAGAGACTCTTAACTATAGCGAAGAAACTGATGGTTGCCAGAGGGGAGGGGATGGGGAGATGGGTGAAATAGGTGAACCCTTAGCATGGTGAGTACTGAGTAATATATAGAATTGTGGAATCACTACATTATACACCTGAAACTAATATAACACTGTATGTTAACTATACTGGAATTAAAATTAAAAATGTAATAAAAATAATAAAATTTTAAAAAATAAACAAATAAAAGAAAGAGGAAGTTTAAAAAATCATGAAATAAACAATGATGGCAAACCTAACTATGCATCCAGTACAGCTACCCTAAATTCTCATTGCAAGGAAATAAGACAATCCGGCATATGCTGTATCGAGTCTCAAAGGGCTTTCTTAGTCACTAATAAGCATAAAACAGCAAAATATTCAAGCATAAGACAGCAAAATGTTCAAACTTTAAAAACTACTATTTCTTGGGCAAGACTCCAGAGATCTGTGGAAATACCTTTGTTTCCATGTTAAACTTTGAATTTGTTGGAGGATAAACTAACTGTATTTTGAAACAAAACTGTAGGAAGGTAACCAGACTTGGAAAAAATCATGAGAGCCAAGAGCTGAGCTACAGACCATGCAATCAAAGGCAGTTTCTAAGCAGTTTCTAGAATGGGCTTTAATTCACAGGGCTTTCATTTTTCCTTTTTGAGGGAACCTTCTGGCTCGAACATGTTCGGGGGCCCTGTACAGCTTGTAAAGCTATGTTCTTCCTCCCACTGAGACCCCACTCAGGCTTGTAGTTTCATTTGGAAGAATAATTTTCAATGTCTGCTTCTAGGCTGAGCATTAATCCCCCCACTGCTTGATCGATTAAATCCCACTGCCTGTGTCTGGAAGGCAAAGTCTGGGCTTTATGTATTGCTTGCTGGCGAGCCCCATTTCTGTGCTCCATGGAACAGGTGCAGCAGCATAACTCTCCACAGCAGGCTTTCAGACAGTCGGATCTTGGGGGTCAACAGGTAGTGTCTTGTGTTACCATCTAGTGAGTTTAAAGGCCTGTAATGATTCTACCGCTATCTGATGAATCTGGTTCGATAACATTATCTTACCTTTCCTATGGCATTTAATAGCTTACAAGGGAAGGATACATGATCTCATTTGTGCTTCATAGCAGTTGTTTATGGGAAGCGGTGCTTTGTCGCTTTCAACTTTAACAATGAGGGGGGACGTGATTCTTGCCCAGAGTCACGTAACTAGTAATGGCAATCTTGTTATTAAGACATAGATCACCTGATTATTAACACCAGTTTTCTTTTATGATTCACATAATAAACCCGAGATAGGAGGATTATAGAGAACTTTCAAAAGGACCCACATTATCAATGTGCTCTGAGCCCAGAAAACTGATGGTAATATAAATGTCACATTGCCACTTACCTGAGCAGAACAAAACAAAGAATAAGCCATTTCAGTGTTGCCTCTAGGAGAAGTCTTGGAGAAAATTGCCAGGATTTCTTTGAAAACCCTTAAATGAGATCAGTCAGTCCCCCGAAGATAAGCAGGCCTGCTTTGTAGGGAAACTTATAATTCATAAGGTCTCATTGTACTGGCTTTGCCTTCCCATGCATTTGAATGTGTATCTTATTTCTCCACCTAGAAAACCCTGGAAGATAGGTGCTGTGGCTTGGTTTTCCCCAGAGGCACAGCCTGAGATAAAGATTCAAGTGCAAGTGACTTAGTTAGAAGGAGAAAGAAACACCAGTAGGGAGTAGGGCAGTGATACAAGGAAGGGTGTGTCATTGAGCCAGCTGCCGCTGGGGTGACTGGAGCTTCACCCCAACACAAAACCTTGGACACGGTGTAAAACACACACCTCAGAGACATTCCACCTGTGGGCTGAGGGAGCTGGGGTATTCATACACCGGTTCCTATCTGTTGTTGAGAACTGCTGGGAGCAGGGGATAATTCCCCCACCTCTGGCATGCTGAACAAGAGGGCAGAGTGGCGATCTGTAGGTGAGGAAAGAGCTCCCAGGCAAAGCAATGTAGACACTGGCAGGGCAGAGTCATTGGTAACCCACGGAGAAGATGGAAGAACACCTGGATGGTAGGCTATAACAGGATCCAGGTCCCACATTTTTCTAATTTTCATTTGAAGTCCAGAGTAGTATTTGGGAGATAAGAGTCCCTTGATAATGATGGACACATCAACTTGATATCAGAGTGGTTATGAAGAAATGCTTACAGAAAGACACTAAATCCCAACCAACAAAAGAGCATGGAAAGAAAGAAGAAACAAGAAAAGACAAAGAAGGCACCACTGGGGAGTCATTCCTACTCACACTTTCTCGTAAATCTTGTCAGGATGCTCTGGCCATTCAATCATACACACCACTCTGTTGGGCATGGTCTCTGTGGTTGAGTAGTAGCCCTGGGGGAAGGCCAGTAGGAGAGCCAGGACCCAGATGACACAGATGACCACCTTGGTGGCTGTGGCTGACAGCCGGGGCTGGAGGGGATGGATGATGGCCATGTACCTGGAACAGAGAAGAAAGGATAAATTTCTGATTTGGTCACCAAAATTTGCATTGGCAATTAGCATTGTCCCTACCAACGAAAAACTCCAGGGAAACCTTTGACTTCTGATGATTTTTATTACTATTTTCTGATCCTTTTTGCATATTCTATCCTTAAATTTTATGACTCCTAGGACATAAAACCCTAAAATCCATAGGAAAAGACAACCAGGTTTTTAAATATTTAGAACCCATCTAGCAACATTCCAGGAGAGACGTTTTCATCATTAGAATGCTCATGCTGGGGACATGATAACCAAGTATAGATCAGAGGGATACAATAGAATTAGAAGGACAAGAAAAATGTCGTCAATTTATTCAATATAAAGGCTGTCTTTATCCTTTTTGGATTAAGGAATGATGTTGATAGAAATAGTGGTTTTTAAAAGTTCTTATGTGGCAATTGAAAAGGCTAACAATCTTATATTGGTCTCTACAATGTGAGGAACAATGAGTGTGTGTGTGAGAAAGAAGTAGCCTAAGAGAAAACATCAGCTCCAGGTGAGATCTTCATCCGTTCTTTGAACATCTAGAAGTCAGTGTGTGGCTACCAAGGCATGCCTCACGGGGAGAAGCAGTCTCCACCTGCTGAGACAGACACACTTGGGTATATTAAAGTCCAGGGTGGATGGAACCTCATTTGCAGGAAGGGGGAAGAAACGTGAATGATGACTCAGGACTTGGAGTCACTCCCCCATGTCCTCTCCCCCGGGATGGAGCCCCGAATGAGTGTGTCCACACGTTTGAATTTGTGCCACCTCTGAAATGTAGCAGAGATCTTAGGAATAAATATTCCAATCAACATTTCATATCAATTACAATCACATCAATTCTGAATCCTCCGTTTTAAAAGGCATCTTACTCTGTGTATTTTTTCTTGCAAAGTTTATGGATCCATCCCTTAAAATATGTATCCTTTGTCAGAGTAGAAATTATGTCTCACACTGCCTTTGGGGTTTAAATATTATCGGACAAAACCTTACATTTGATTCTCTGATATGCAGGTATTTCTGGCTTCTGTGGGACGGAATGGCCAATGGAGACTTCGGAAAAGAGCAGACAAATAGCAGCCCAGCTGTCAGCTGGATGCACATAATTCCACATAATTCTTTTTCTACACCCTTTGGACTCCTAGGATCTGTAGGCTAGAACTGGGGCCACGGTTGTAAGTAAAGCAATTTCACTCAGCATGTGCTCTACAAATTCGCACTGGGCACCTGCCGCATGCAGAACAGAGCTTTTCCTTCTCAGCTCCAAGCTTCTAATTTCTCTGGGGAGAGTAGACGCATAAATAGGCAACCACAAAACACGACAGTAGGATATGTGACCTCAACTGGTAATCTGATAAATGCCTTAGAGCCTCACGGAGGCGGCAGAGGTAATCAAGTCTTGGTATGGCAGGGGGACTGTTGGAGGCGCTTAAAGAGGTGCATTTAGCTGGATTTGGGACAAGTCTGCTGGGCATCCAGCTGGAAGGGAAAGAAGCATTCAGAGCCTTCCTCTCTTCCTCATGTTATGATCAGATCTGACTCCCTGTCTGGCTCAGTTTTTGTGAAGGCTTCTTTGAGTGACCTTTTATAATTCTAAACTTTAAAACACCTTTCTTCACATTTTCTTGCTAGCGACCTGGGTTTTCTTCTCTGGTCTTTTCTAGTGATGCCACTGAAGCTGTTCAGTGTGTGGAGGTTGGATACTAGGCTACCTCATGTCAGCCTTCACATATATGATTAGAAGTGATAACCTTCCAGAAGAAAACCCTCAGAATCTCTTCTTTCTGCCTCTTTTGGAAAAAATGGGCAGGCGGTCTAGAAGTCAGGAGGGAGTGGAATTCGGAAGAGACTTGGAACAGATATTTTGGTGGGGGTGAGCAGTAAGCCATAAATCTTTGGGCAAGTTTCCTCGGTTGAGTTGGTGGCCATAAAGCCTATCATTCAGCTATTGTCTACAGCACCAGATGGGCAAAGACAACTCTCAAAATGCCATGAATCAAACACTGTCTGTCTTCTTTAGGTTACCCTAAGGGACCATAGATTTGATGCCCTTCCATCCTTGGGGTGGTCTCCTGAAAAGAATCCTGAGACGTCGTGATTTCCCTCCTGGATCTGCCTCTTTCTTGCTGCCTGAAGCCAATGGAGCACTGATTTCCTCTTCAGTCATGGAGTGGCGGTGGACAGGGAAATGCAGAATCAGAGCCAATGGAGGTGAACTGTGCAGCTACTAATGTCCTTTCCAATTTGGTGAAGGGCTGGACCTAGATGGTCATTAATTGTAGGCTGGCTTACTGGATCATTTCCCAGAGGCAAGATCTTCCCCCTACAAAGCTGGACACCTAGCCATGCAGAAGCCTTTCCTTGCCAGCACCATCCAGGCTTCTGCTCTCACTGTAGCTGTGTCTTCTCAGGCTCCATAGGAGCTTGAGGAGACTGCACAAAGGAGAATGTGCTAATTACATCGCCCCCTTTTAATATTATCTCACATGCAAGATTTTAATTTGCTTTTAACTCAGGATAAGCATTCAATCTTAAATAAATGTACCTTAACACCCATGCCCGTGCCCAAATTGGCAATACACCATTCAAAATCTAACGTGACTGGGGCTTAAGGGGAGCTGCATCGGCATACTGGTGCTATAGCTCCAAACAGGTTGCAGAAAGTCATATTTTAACTTTATTGCAAAAATTACAATTTGGGAGCCCATTTCAGTTAACTCTGCCATTTCTTGAGTGGAGGAGCCATTTCAGTGACAGATGAAAGTGTTACCCGCATAAAGCCAGAGAGAATACAAAAGGTTGGCCCTAAAAATTGTATTTTCATTTGTTCAAAATAGAGTCATTTGTAGATCTTTCTCTATGCCTTTCTTCTTTTTTACCTTTCTTCCTTCTTTCTTTGGAAATCCTCACTTCTGGAGCTTATGTGACATGCTTCTTTCTTACACCCCAAATCTAGTACCCCCTGGGAAAACTTGTCCGTAGACGGATGCATATTTTCTTTCCTGCTGACCATTCCTAGCTTGGATTCCATTAACATACCTTTATATATTTATTTGTAACCACCCTGAACAATTCTTGCTTATTCAGTTATGACTTATCATTGAGGAAGTGCCGCAAGCCTTGGGAAAATGGATTCAATAAATATTTATTGACTGCATTGTGCTCAAGAGACCAGAAGGCAGTCAATGAAATGTCTTTTCTGGTTTATGCATTAATCATCAGGCTGACAGAGAAAGGGGTCCGGGGGCTGTGTGGGATGTGGATTATGTTCTCCACTCCAGGTTGTTCTAGTCCCACGGAGGGCTGGTGGCTCTGATTTGAATTGTATGTAGCCTCCCAGCTCAAACACCTGAGGTGCTATCCTCCCCTTGCATGATCATGCTTTATAAAAAGAACTCTCCATAGAGTCTCTGAAATCTGGCAAAATATAAGGCTGCACATTTTTTTTTAAAGGCAGAGTGAAACAATAAGTGAAGAAGAATCCAATCTTTTTTTTAAATTTTATTTATTTATTTGACAGAGAGAGAGAGAGATAGCAAAAGCAGGAACACAAGCAGGGGGAGTGGGAGAGCGAGAAGCAGGCTTCCTGCCGAGCAGGGAGCCCGATGTGGGACTCGATCCCAGGATCCTGGGATCATGACCTGAGCCGAAGGCAGACGCTTAACGACTGAGCCACCCAGGCGCCCAGAATCCAATCTTCTGATAAGCCCCAGTATCCTCATAATATGTCCTCTTATACTAGCCCTAAATCACCTGGCAGAGAGGATGTCTTTCCTCTGCCAAGAGATCTCACCTCCCAGGCCCTCCCTCTGGTTCCAGTCCCCACTCTCCCTCATCCCCACTCACTCCCTCCCAGGATGGTTTCCGTCAAGGGACTACATCCGCCTGGGTTCAAATGACAAGGAATAGTGACAGCTGAGAGCATGGCTGCTGTAGTCTAGCTCAAAGGTTGGCGAACTTTTCCCGTAAAGGGCCAGATGGTAAATATTCTAAGCTTTGTGGCCCACACAGTTTCTGTTATAACTACTCAACTCTGCCTTTGTAGTGTGAAAGCAGACAAGGCAACTGTCTTGGGCGTGACTGTGTGCCAGTGAGACAATTTACAAAACTGGTGGGGGCCGTGCTTGGCCTAGGGCCACAGTTTGTTGATCCTTGGTCTAGTTGATAGGAAGTGAAGAACAGGAGGAATAAAAACCGTAGGAGAACATGGTGTACTCTTCAGAAACACTCTTTAGCTTTGGCAGATGGAGGACTCTAAGACTAAAGCTCATTGGGTGGATAGATCTTATAGCCCACAAGGAGCTAGTAAAGTGGTCAGCCGCCATTCATGACTCCAGAATCTAGCCGCTTGTCTGAGTACAGTGGTCACTAACCCATGATGTTTTTACCCCTTGATCTTCTGGCTGGCTCCTACTTATTTTCATGGCTTGGCCCATTTATCATGTCCTGTGACTGGGTTTAGGTGCCCTGCCTTTCCTGCTGTGAAGATCTCTAACCTTGTGTGGACCACATTTCAGTTTATTTGCCTGTCTACCTTGTCTTAATTCATCCTTGACAGATCTTTTGCAGATGGCCGTTGCTGTGACTTTTTCAAGCTGGTTTCCTTGGCTTCCCTCAGTGCCCAGGACATAGTAAAAACTCAGTGAAAGCTTAATTGAATAAATGAATATGAAATTTCTTGGTATATAGCAGGGGCTCCATAAATGGTTGTTGAATAAAAATAAATGCAGTAGGAGAACTACATTCTTACTCCACCTTCATTCTTCCCAGTCTGAACATATGTGAGACTATTACGGGGGAATAATTATTGCTCAGTGTTTTCTGTGATACAAACATCCAGGATCATCCTGCAGGAAGGACTTCACTGGACCTGGGTCTTCAGAATTTCCCATCTCTTGACATTAAGCCCTTACACAAATTCTCAATAAGTATTTGTTGACTAACTTCCACGCTGACCGCTATGTAGAGAAT